AAAAAAAAAAAAAAAAAAAAAGTAAAGCACGGTGATAGGCTAGATTAAGAGACATGGAGCAAGGGCAGAATGTGAGCCATTTTATTTAGGAATCTCAGGGTAGGTATCTAAGGAGGTGACATTTAAGTAGAAGAAATAAGTGAAGAAACTATGAGGAAAGAAATAAATGGGAAAGACAAATTGGCTTCCTGATTACTTTAGCCAATAAATGACTCTTACCATATCTGCTTAAATGTGTTAAGAGCTCTCTAGTGAGAGCTAGTCACATGAACCTACCTGGCTGCAAAGGTGTCTGGGAGATGCTGCCACTCGTTGGGCAGTGGATTCCAGGAAAACTGTATACCATGAACAGAGATCATTAATCTTTGGTAGACTGCTAGCCTTTCTACCCCTACCATTCATTTGGTTAAACTTGATTCTCTTCTTTCATGGTATTGATTTGCCTCAAATGTCTAAATGATCCATGGTAATCCATTCTTATTTATTGACAAAACACTAGGTTGATATATATTGGTACCTAGCAAGAGTTTTCTCTACTGTTAAGAGGTTGTTTTATCCAAAAGGTCACTCCCTCCAGAGCAGGAAGGTTGATTCAGATACTACATGAGTGGATACTGTGTATCTACCAGCAGGCTTGGATTTATGAACAGAAGCAAGCACATAACTGATGATTTCCAGAGGTGGCCAACCAAGAATACATTATAGCTAGAGTGGAATTGTCAGAGGTGTGAGAACCAGAGCAACTCCATCTTGAATAGGAGCTGGGTAAAACAAGGCTGAGACCTACTGGGCTGCATTTCCAGATGGTTAAGGCATTCTAAGTTGCAGAATGAGATAGGAGGTCAGCACAAAATATAGATCATAAAAATCTTGCTGATAAAGAAACCAGTCAAAACTCATCAAAACCTTCTTAGGCCATGAGAGTGACCTCTGGTTGTCCTAACTGCTACACTCCCACCAGTACCATGGCAGTTTACAAATGCCATGGCAATGTCAGCAAGTTACCCTATATGGTCTAGAAAGGGCAGGCAGTTACCCTATATGGTCTAGAAAGTGCACAATAATCCACCTCTTGTTTGGCGTATCATCAAGAAATAACCATAAAAATGGGCAACCAGCAGGCCTTGGGACTGCTCTGTCTATGGAGCAGGAATTCTTTTATTCCTCTACTTTCTTAATAAACTTGCTTTCACTTTATGGACTCACCCTGAATTCTTTCTTGCACAAGATCCAAGAACCCTCTCTTGGGGTCTGGATCAGGACCCATTTCTGTAACATCTTTCTGGTGACCATGGAATGGACTATAGTAAGGAAACCCCTGACCCAAATGCTAACTTTGGGCAAGTGGTGGGGCTCAGTAACATCTTTCTGGCAAATCCTGAAGGGACAATACTGAAGAAACCCCCTGATCCAAAGGAAATGGACCGCAGCGCTGATCAGCTGAGTCTAAGTAAGTGGTGGGATACCTGGATAAATAAAGGGATTAGATCAGAGGCCCAACTTAGGGGAGTCAAAGTCACTCCTAAGACAGTGGGTTAGAAACCCCTCTTAATAAAAAGCAAGGACGCTTGACCAACCTTGGGTTAGAGGCCCAACTTAGGAGGGTTAGGGTCTCTTATAAGATTTAGGGGGTTGGAGGCCCCTCTCGGTAAAGTCCCTTTTGGCTGAGAATGGGTTTGGCACTATGGGATGTGAACTGCTATTCTCTTTGGATTAATCTGTCTTGCACTCTTTGCTGATGGCTATAGGTGACAGGATTAGGCATGTACAGGATCATGGAACATTGGAAGCTTAATCTTCCCCAAAAAGGGGAAAATGTGAGAAATGATGGACCGCTGGAAAAGATCCCTTCACAACCAACAAGTGGCCACTTGAACTTCTGAGCAATAAGTAGGTCTTTCTCTGGTCTCTCTGAAGTCTTTGCCTTCCCCACCCTGCCTGAGGCAATGCTTTCCTTTCTATCCTGTGCAAACCAGTTGAATGAATGGTAAAAATCACTGTTTATCTCCTGTAAAGTTTTGATTAATGGGAAAAAGGGATTGTGAGGCTAGTCATAAGCTGTAGCGAATCTGGTGAACTTTGTGTGTCTCTCTGTATTGTTCTTTCATGAAGAGGAGTATATATATGAAAGAGTTTTGATTAATTGGCTTAAGAACAGCTGAAATGAAATCTTTTGTCATAAAAGTAAAAAGTTTAATGCATTTTATTTAGTTCATGTGACTTAATCTTTGAGAAATAAAAAGTTTTAAACATTATTGGTAAAATAAAAATATCTTCAAAGATGTAAACATTTGGTCTAAATTATGTGGGTTAGATATTAAGTTTGCTAAATACTTCAAGGTCATAAACTGGTTCTTTGACTTTTAAAAGTTATTAAATTTGTCTTGGAGCATTAGATTCTAGATAAGACTGGGGACATGTGAAATTAGCCATGACCCTTGCTATGCAAAGAAGGTTATAAAGAAAAGAGATTTTATATAAGAAAGGATCTTATATAGTAAATTTTTGTCCTAAAGTAAAATAACTGGTTGTTTAAAAGAGAGATGTTTAGGACAAGTCAAAAAGTCCAAGTATGTCATAGATTGTCTGTGTAATTTGTAAAATATTTATGAAAGGGAATTTATACACGAAATATACAATTTAAAGGTGATTAGACCTCCTAAATGCTTCATAAAATGCCACTAGGACTCTTAACTCTACAACTTGCCTGCTTTACAGCTGGGTAAGGCCTGGTGCATGTGAAGTTTGACACTGGAAAAAATCAGACCTTATCTGCACCTCTGCCTGAGTCCTAGGCTCCACACCCAGTACATAGTTAATCCCTTACTTACCAACGTTTTTACCAAAAGTAAAAGTTGCTAAGAGTCAACATTTAACATGTAATTGAGACTACTAAAAAAAACAGTCTACAGAAAAGGCCTGTAAGGAAAATAGAATATACTTTTGGTAAACGATTATAAGAAGTCAAGGTAATGTGTATTTTTTCTTTTTTTTGCCTAAATGATTGTTTTAAGTTAGATAAAATAAGGCTGATGGTTTAAACAAATGTGGAAAGTTTGTGAAAAATTAATCTTGTAAAAGAAATTCTGTGTCTGAACATATTGGTTCAAGTTAAAGGGGTATTACTGAGTGTTTCCATACATTGGAATAAAATCACAACAGTTTTTCCTTAGAGCAAAAACCTGCTTTTAATCAGCTCTTTAACAAAAATTGTAAAGGATTATAAAAAGTTTATGAGAATCTTACCTTATGGTCAAACTGATTAAGATTAAATATAGTTGTCTGTAAGGTTTTATTAAGAATTCAGTTTGATACCAATAATGCATTAATGCAACAGTGACATTTGGCTTATCTGGTATAAAGTCATACAGGAAGCATTATCAAATGTAAAATGGTGATTGGTTTTCTTTGAGCTGCATTTGTATAAATACATTATTGGTATATGTTACAAAATTACAGGAAATTTATAATTCTGAAATGACTTAGTGTATGTTATTCATAACTATAATTATTACACTAAATCATTGTATGCTACAGAGTTAGCCAAATCTGGCAATTATGTTTTTAACTGTGGCTATCCTAAGATGTTTTGTCATCCACAGACAATTGTTGTCTTCTTTTGATCCTCTTTAGAAGGTGATTTATATAGAACTCTAGCAGGTGTTCTTGAATGCAGGTTTTCTGATAACTTTGGAGACTGTGACATCAGAATAGAGGAAAAAACTTTCAGGACTCTCATGGAGAGCTGAAATGTTCCATGACTATCAAACAGGAGTTAACTACACATGGACTAATCTAAGAGAAGCCTAAAATAATCTTTTTAACGTTTTGCTTAAAATGTTGCCAATCCTTTGTTTTGTTTTTCAGAGCCAAGAAAACTTTTATTTTGAGCTACTTACAGCTTTTAACAATTGAGTAATGTATATTCCTGTGAACAAAATTGGGGGCATATTTGTTTCTCTCTACATAATTTCTCCAGAATTTGGAAACTATTTGTGAATGTTCTTAATTTATGGCAAAATAGTTATTTGCATAAGTGCAATAAGACTCTGTTTTTGGCCAGGTGTGGTGGCTCCCACCTATAATCCCAGCACTTTGGGAAGCTGAGGTGAATGCATCACCTGAGGTCAGAAGTTCAAGACCAGCCTGGCTAACATGGAGAAATGCTGTCTCTACTAAAAATACAAAATTTAGCCAGGCACAGTGATGGGTGCCTGTAATCCCAGCTACTTGGGAGGTTGAGGCAGGAGAATCACTTGAACCCGGGAGGCAGAGGTTGCAATGAGCTGAGATCTCACCATTGCATTCCAGTCTGGGGAAAAAATAAAGGAATCTGTTTTCCTTTGTAACGGGACACAATCCTAGACACTGGCTATTTTACCAAGGCTTTGACTGGAATGATGTGCTTTCATTTAAGGAATCAAACTTGACTTGTAAAACCTATAAAAGTCTTTTGGGGAACTGGCCTCATACCTTGCCTCCACAGTCCCTGTAGAGGGTTTCTAACATGTGGTAAGTAAAGAATGTCACTTTCTAACAGATCTAGGAGCTCTAAGTTATCTTGGGACCTTAAAAGGAGAAGAATTTACTCAACTCATAAGTATTTGAGGGAACAAACCCATAGCTTGGCTTGGCTTTAAAAAATTTTTAAGGTCAGGTGTGGTGGCTCACACCTATAATACCAGCACTTTGGGAGGACAAGGCAGGAGGATCACCTGAGGTTGGGAGTTTGAGACAAGCCTGGCCAACATGGAGAAACTGTGGCTCTACCAAAAATATAAAAATTAGCCAGAAATGGTGCCACATGCCTGTAATCCCGGCTACTCAGGAGCCTAAGGCAGGAGAATTCCTTGAGCGTAGGAGGCAGAGCTGAGATTGTGCCACTGTACTCCAGCCTGGATGACAGAGCGAGACTCTGTCTCAATAAACAAACAAACAACAACAACAAAAATAAATAAAGTCTCCTTCTATGGAACTGGTTGCATCAAAACCAATTTGAAAAGAGCATATGTAAGAAGTAATTATTCTTGCTGCACTTTATACAAATAATCAAGCTAAGTACAATAAAGCAAATTGGTCTTGCCATGATTTGTCTTTAGTAGAAATGGGAAACTGGAGAGAGAAATATTATGTTTCAAGAACTATAATATACTTGTTATTAAATTCTAATCTTATTGTTTTTAAGTTTGTTTCTGCAATTTAGGCTAACCCTGCTTATTCCTGTAAAGCAATCAGTGATCTCTGGCTGCTGCACAGAAAAAACAAGAGAAATGGGTAGTGTAAAAATCTGGATCAATATTCCAATTCTGGGCATGTACTGAAATCAGCTAGTAACTTCATATCATCTTGGTTCCAGCAGTTGTCCATTTCATAGAAATGCTTCTTATTTAGTTATTTTGGATAATTTTACTTATTTTGCTTTACTCTTGTCAAATATATTGCTGTTGTACTCTTTGTATAGGAATGCAGGACAAGTTGACTGAATGTTTTCTTAAATCAAATACTTACTAATCTTCCAGATATCACCTTTTGTTGAAGTTCAGAGTTGTGAATGGCCCTCACCATACTGATGCTTTCTGACTGAGCTCCTCTCCACCCTGAACACAAGAGACCCTAATAGTTAGGCAGGAATATCATCATCCCTATTCAACCTGAAGAATTTACAGAAAACGGGCCTTCCTCCCTCTGCAACCCTTAGGTTTAAGGGCTAAAGGTTAAAACAGCTTGCAGTAGGATTAAATTTAGGATTAAGGGCTAAGAGATAAAACAGCTTACAGTAAAGAAGCCAGCAAAACCCATCAAAACCAAGATGGCCACGAGAGTGACCCCTGGTCATCCTCACTGCTATACTCCCATCTATGCATGGTTTACAAATGTCATGGTAACATCAGGAAGTTATCCTACATGGTCTAGAAAGGGAAAGCATGAATAATCCACATTTTGTTTGGTATATCATCAAGAAACAACCACAAAATGGGCAACCAGCAGCCCCCTGGGCTGATTTGTTTATGGAGTAGCCATTATTTTATTCCTCTACTTTTTAAATAAACTTACTTTCACTTTATGGACTCACCCTGAATTATTTCTTCTGCAAGATCCAAAAACGCTCTCTCTTGGGGTCTGGATAGGGACCCCTTTCCTGTAACAGAATAATTTATATTTCTCACTGTGGGTTAGTACTGCTTCTTTGTTCTCTCCTGGGCCCTGGCAGAGGCTCAGAAGTAACCTAGAATCTTTTCTGCTTCTCATATTGTGGTCAACACCCATAGCTATATGTGCTAACCACTAGATTTTCAACTTTGTTGAAAAAACATTTCAAGGAGGCAAATGCTATAGCATAATGAGAGGAAGGGGCTAACCTGTTTAGCTGCGCATAAACATTTCTTCAGTTCCTTCCCTCTTTGATGACTACCCTGTAGCCTACTTCATTCTCTTATTTTTGTCTTTGAAGTTGGCATTACTCCAGCGAATGGCTCTTACTACCATAGCAACTTCTTCTATTGCATGTTGTAGAGTGTTGTTTCCATGCCTCCAGTTTCTTCATTGGTCTGAGCCTCTCTACTTTCTATCTTCTAGAAATACCCCAATGGCACCTCATATCTCTTTCAGGTTTGCTTTACTACATGTCTTTACTGACATTTCAATAGGATTTCAGGAGGGAACAAAAGTAAATATATGTGCTTAGTCTTCCATATTCAGAATTTTCTGCCTTTTAGTGTCCTATGCTAAGGCAAATATGAAAAAAAAATGAGATTTTTCAACACCTGAAATTTGATGTACAGAGTGTCAGAAGGGCAGAGCAAGATGGCTGAATACAAGATTCCACCAATGGTTCCCCACGCAGGAACACCAAATTTTAACTAAGCACACACAAAAAAGCACTGTTATAAGAACCAAAAATCAGGTAAAGTTACCTGGTTTTAACTTCCAATCACTGAAGGGGGCACTGAGAGAGTAGAAAACACAGTTGCTGATATCTAGTTCCTAGATGACATTTCTAGACAAAACCTGGGCCAGAAAGAAACCAGCTGCCTTGATGAGAAAGGACCCAGTCCTGGCAGGATTCATCACCTGCTGACTAGAGAGCTCTTGGTCCCTGGATGACTAACAATGATATCTAGGTAGTATACTGTGGGTCTCAGGTGAGAATCTTAGACATGCTGACTTTAGGTGAGACCTAACATATTCCCAGCTGTGATGACTTTGGTGAAAAACTCCTTCTGCTTGAGAAAAATGGGGGGGGGGGGCGGAAGTAAAGGGGACTTAGTTTTGCACTTTAGATACCAGTTCAGCCACAGTGGGGTAGAGCACTAAGTGGGCTCTTGAAGTCCTCAAGCCCAGGCCTAGGCTCTTGGATGCCATTTCTGGTCCTGCTCTGGGCCAGATGGGAGTCCACTATCCTGAAGGGTGAGTCTCATGCCTGGCAACATTCACAACAAGCTGACTGACTGAAGAGCCCTTGGGCCTTATGGTAACATTGGTTGTAGCCTGGCAACACTCCATTTGGGCCTGTGGAGATGATGGCCACAGAGTGAGGCTCTTCTGCCTATGGAAAGGGGAAGGAACAGTGGAAAGGAATTTGTCTTGTGGTTTGAGGGCCAGCTTAGCCACAGTAGAGCAGAACACCAGACAGATTTCTAAGGGTTTTGACTCCAATCCCTGGCTTTTAGACAGTTATCTCTGAACCTACCTACAGCATGGAGGAACTTACTGTACTGAAGGGATGGCACAAACCTGGCTGGCTTCCCCACCTGCTGTATGGAGATTCCTAGGGCCTTGAGTGAACATAGGTGGTAACGAGGTAGTCGTTACAGCAGCCTTTAGGCAAGACCCAGTGCTGTGCTGACTTCAGGTCTGACCCAGGGAAGTTCTAGTGGTGGTGGCCACAGGAGTGCTTATATTACCCCACTTCCAAGTCCAGGTGGCTCAGCACAGAGAGAGAGAGAGAGAGACTCAGATTGTTTGGGAGAAAGTAAGGGAGGAGTCTCTGCTGGATAATTTAGTGAATTCTTCTGGATCATATCAAAGATTGCCAAGGCGGTACCTCTGTAAGACTGCAAGATACAGTGTTATTGGGCATGGGGTCCAAGTCCCTTCAAATACGTAGAAAGCATTCCCAAGGAAGACAGGCACAAACAAGCCAAGACTGTGAAGACTACAATAAATACCTAACTCTTGTATGCCCAGGCAGATAATAATAATAATAATCCACAAGCATCAAGACCATCCAGGAAAATATGACTTCACCCAACTAACTAAGACACCAGAGATCAATCCTAGAGAAACAGCCATATGTGACATTTCGGACAGAAAATTTAACATAGCTGTGTTGAAGAAAATCAAAGAAATTCAAATGTCCTTCATTATGAAATCTACATAATTGCAAAAACAAAACAAAACAAAAAACACCATCAACTTTTTTAAAGGGCAGATCTTACTTGTAATGTTTTAGGGTTGCTGAAATTTATTTCTTCCTATTAATTATGGGGAGTTGAGGTTTTAATGTTTTAGCCTTCCACCAATGACTACATAAACACTTGAGTGACTCTCAATTTGTTGATAGTCATTTAAACCCCTTAGACATTGAAGTCATATTAGGAAACAAAGAACTTGTTATTCCATTCCATTTATTTTCTCATCTATATATTAGGTTTTCTTATATAGACTGTTATGCTTTCTGCTAATAACTGTGGAAGTTCTGATTACTATAATTATGTAAACTAAATTATCAATATATATGTGGTAAGTACTCATATTAATATACATTAAAATTCCTCCATTTAAAATATAAGATACTCCATTGTAACTCCTCTATTAATTATTTATATATGTGTGTGTATGCAGTAGAAATTGACAGGATCAGTCAGAATACACTATTGTAGCTTGACAAGCAAACAGAATTAATTGTCATATGATTTACTCACCAATTCTGACATTGCTTTATTTTTAATGTACTTTTATAGAAAATATTTTCACTTTAATAACTGCATAATTTTCTTATGCACTCCTAACCATCTTTTGCTTTAATGGAAGGTGAAAACAAGATAATATAAATTTGAATTAGAATTTTAGCATTCCTTTAAAACTGGCACTCATATATTCACATGATTTCAAAGTCATAAAATTACTCTATCTTTTGAGATTAGAACTAAAGTCACAGATCATGGGATTAGTGATATTGACTAATAAATTTTCAAGTATAGTAAAAGTTTATTAATTTGAAGAAAAGTACATCTGAATTAGTAGAAAATTTAAGTTACGGAGCACTTTTCAGAAGGCAGTTTTGTATTACGTATCAAATGGGAATAATAACAAATATAGTTTATGAGATACCAATTAGTTTTTTTTGAGGCAGAGTCTCGCTCTGTTGCCCAGGCTGGAGTGCAGTGGCCGATCTCTGCTCACTGCAACCTCTGCCCCCTGGGTTCAAATGATTCTCCTGTTTCAGCCTCCTGAGTAGCTGGGATTACAGGTATGTGCCACCATGTGTGACTAATTTGTTTTTTTTTAATAGATACAGGGTTTCACCATGTCAGCCAGGTTGGTCTGGAACTCCTGACCTCAAGCGATCTGTTTCCCTTGGCCTCCAAATTGCTGGGATTACAGGCATGAGCCACATGCCTGGATAGATGTCAATTACATTTTAAAGAAACTCTCTTTTAATAATTAAATAACAATGATTTGAACTTAGCATGTACTTTGTATCAAAATGATTTCTTCTAAAGGATTTAAGGTTCTTAAATTATGTTTCAAGAGTTTAAAAATTTATCCTAAAAATGTATTAATTAGCTAGTCATATTAATGTGGTACTGTTTTCCTAAAATATTGGTGACATTATTATTTAGCTTAACTTTAATTTGATTATAAAATATACCCATTACAATACACTTTTATGTCACCCAGAGCTTTGCTGCATGAATTATCACCAGTCTTGTATCAATATCTCTTTCAGCAGACTATAAACATGTCCAAGCTTCTTACTTTTTAGAAACCAGCAAAGCCTACCCTACTTCCTTTCATATCGCAGCTTCTCAAAATAGCAGTCTATATTTCCTGTGTTCTCTCTCATTTACTCCTCAACCCAGAGTAATACTTTCTGCCTCAAACCTTACACTGAAATTGACAAAATATTTTTCAGTACCTATCAAGCTTAATCTCTTTGCAGTATTCAGTACTGATAGCTACTCCTTCCTTGAAATTGTCTCTTCTCTTGACAATCTTCCTAAACAGCACACCTTCCTAGTTTTCCATCTTGTTTCTCACATCATTTATTTGTTTACCAGGCTCCCAGTAGGAAATATCATTTTGGGTAACTGGCCAGATCACATTTCTTTTTAAAATTATTTTATTATTTATTTATTTTAAGATAGGGTCTGGCTCTGTTGCCCAGGCCAGTGTGCAGTGGCACAATCACAGTTCACTGCAGCCTCGACCTCCTGTGCCAAGTGATCCTCTCACCTCAGCCCCCTCGCAACTGGGACTACAGGCACATGCCACCATCCCTGGCTAATTTTTGTAAAGATTGGGTTTTGCCATGTTGTCCAGGCTGGTTTCAAACTCTTGGGCTCAAACAATACACATTGCCTCAGCCTTTAAGGTACTGGGCTTACAGGCATAAGCCACCATGCAAAGCTAATTTTTTTTTAAATCTGATATACAACATACAGATATACAATGAGGGCCTATTTCTGTGTGATAGGACCTAACCCTAGTCATAATGAATTTAGGGTTAGACCATCAGATATGTATTAAATGAGTTTTGAAATTTGGAATGGAGCCAGGGATAAGACATCACTGGTAGTAAGCCAATCAAGTTAATTCCAGCCTCCTAAAAGCATGCGTAGGAATTTTTCTGGCTGAGGCCACTAGAACTGCAGTTTTTGCTGTTCTGTGATTACTTACAAAGTTTTCTTTTGATTATGTGAGATACACACAATAAATCCTCTCCATGTTCCACTGCCCAACATATTTTTTTTCCCTTAAACTAACAGCAGTAGTTTTTTGTGTTAAATTAATAAATATCTTGATAGGCTTATTTCCCATATCTGCCATTAAACACCAATATTCACCATAGGGTTCTCTCTAGACCTGTGATGAGGTTTGGGACATGTTACCCCAAAGTATGGAGTACTTTGGCACTTGAGAAAACACCAGAAACAGGAAGGTCTCTCTGACTTTACTCCTGCCCTTCTTACCTGAAGTAGATTATAAAAGAATTTTCCACCTTTC